GCCGCGGTGCGGAGGCCGAGCTCCGCCGGCGCTCCAACCCGCGGCGCATGGGAAGCTCCCTCCCGTCTGCTTCCCCCCTGAGTGTTCACAGACTCTCTGTTTAATAATCTGCTCTAGAATCTTTCCTGGTATTGATATTAGACTAACTGGGCGATAATTGTTGAGATCCTCTTTTTCCCATTTTTGAAGATGGGGACAATGTTTGCCCTCTTCCATTCTGCTGGGACTTCTCCTGTTCTTCAAGAGTTCTCAAAAATTATTGCCAATGGCTCTGACATTATATGTCAGTTCTTTTAATACCCTTGGATGTATTTTTTGTGGGTTTTTCGGGCTGTGTAGCCATGTTCTAGAAGAGTTTCTTTCTAAGAAAGAAACTTTTCTAGAACATGGCCACACAGCCTGAAAAAACCACAAACAACTATGGATGCTGGCCATGAAAGCCTACGACTTCACCCTTGGATGTAGTTCATATGGTCTCAGACTTAAATTCATTTAGATTAACCAGGTATCCCTGTACTACCTTTTTACTTATTCTGTGCTGCATTTCCCTTATTGTGTTCTCTGCATGATTTTCCTCAAGGTGAGCACCCTTTTCCTTTTGTGAGAAGACTGGGGCAAAGAAGGTATTAAGTAGGTCTGCCTTTCCTCTGTTCCATTAGCATTTTGCCCTCTTCTCCATGCAGTGGCCTTACCATTTCTTTCTTCTTCTTCTTGCTACAGACATACCTCCAAAAGCCCTTTTTATTGTTCTAATCTCTCTAGCAAGCCTGAGCTCATTCTGCACTTTAGCTTTTCTGACTTTACCCCTACACATGCTAGCTATTTGTTTGAATTCCTCTTTGGTGATTTCTCCCCTTTTTCATTTCTTATACATCTCTCAATTAGTTCACTTGAAAGTTCTTTAGTCATCCTTCCTGGTTTCTTGAGACACCTTCCATTTTTCCTCCTCACTGGAACAGTTTGAAATTGTGCTTTCAATATCTCCCCATTGAGAAACTCCCATCTATCCTGAACTCCCTTCTCTTTTAGTATTCCTGACCATGATAATCACCCCCAGTATTTCCCTAAGTTTACTGAAATCAGTCTAGAATGCATGTCTGGCTATGCCTCCTTTCCACTGTCTAACAAACCCCAGGAGAATTTGATCTCTCCCACCTAAGGATCCCACCACTTGCACACCATTAATCAGGTTATTCCTGTTATTTAGGATCAGATCTAAAATAGCTGATCCCCTTGTTGCTTCTTCCACATTTTGGACAATTAAATTATCTTCCAGACAAGTGAGGAATTTGCTAGACCTTACAGTTTTGACTTGACTTCCAGCAAATATCAGCTTAGTTGAAGTCACCCATCACTACTACATTTCTCCTTTCTGAGTGTGTGGTCATCTGTTCTAGAAAGGCATCGTGTCATCCAATTCCTCAGTCTGACTTGGGAGTGGGGGTTTGTAGTAGACTCCCACAATAGCATCCCTGTTGTTTCCCTTCCCTTTAATTTTTATCCAGATGTTCTCCACCTGACTTCTAGGATTTAAGGATTCCAGGATTTAAGTCCTGGATCTCTTCACAGGTGTAAACATTCCTGACATATAATGCTACTCCTCCTTTTCTGTTTGGCTTATTTCTCTTAAAAAGGGTATATCCCTCTATTACTACAGTCCAAACATGGGACTCATCCCATCAGGTTTCAGTGATGCTTATTATATAATATTTGCTTTGTTGTGCTAGGAGTTCAAGTTCATCTTGTTTATTTCCCATGCTCTGTGCATTAGTGTAGAGAAATCTAAGACCATGGGTCCACCCCCACCCCCCAGCTGCCTGTGTAAAGTTTTATCTGTCCCACTGTTGGGTCCTTGCACTATTTCCCTTGTTCCCTCTATAACAGTTTGACTATTATCTCCAGCCCTTGATGAAGTCCTGCCTTCCAAAATACTGTCTCCTTCCCCCATATAACTCAGTTGAAAGTCCTCCTGATCAAATTTTGCAGGCTATTAGCAAAAACATTTCTGTCAACTAGTGTGAGGTGCAACCCATCCCTTGCCAGAAATCCCCCCTCATGAAACCACAGCCCATGATCCAATGATCCAAATCGTTCACAGAGGCACCATCTGCAGATCCAGTTGTTCACATCTGCTACTTTCCTCTCCCTTCCTAGACCATGGTCTTCAACCAGGAGAAGAGATGAGATGACAACCTGTGCATCCAGCTCTTTCAGCTTCCTATTCAGAGCTTCATAATCCCTTAAAATATTCTGAAGGTTATGCCTTTCAGTATCATTGATTTCCACATGGACCAAAAGGAAGGGGTAATGGTCAGTAGGTATGACAAGTCTTGTCAGCCTCACTGTCACATCACAGATTTTTGCCTCAGAGAGACAACACACCTCCCAAGACATCCTGTGAGGTCCACAAACCACTGATTCTGTACCATTCAGCAAGGAATCCACCACCACACACCTCCTCCTAGGCTTAGCATGGCTGTTCTCTGTAGTGGTACTCCAAGGGTCCCCTTCACTTCCCCTGTGGCCTGTCCCTGATGCTCTTCCTTACCATCCCTGATAAGGGAGAGAGCTTCAAATTGATTCTGTAACTGCAAGTTCCCAGAACAATCCCTGGTTTTCTTACTCCTGTGTGTCACATTCCTCTATCTGTCTACCTAGTGAAATAAATGTGATAATAACATGCATAAATGTCATGTGCATATGTTTTTGAGAATGAAACAAATTCCTGTTATGTCATTTATCCATTTGGGAGACAATCCTATACATAGTTACCTGTGAAAAGCCCTTGCTGAATTAAATGAGACTTATTGCTGAGTAGGCATGAGTGGGATTGTATATGCCTTTCCTCCATGTGCTTTTTGTCTCTCCCTCCCCCTGCAGCTCTTTGTCCCAGTCAAATATCTACTCTGGAGTTATTCCCAGAGGTATTCTCTGGGAGCAGATGTTGTGGGGAGGGGATTGAATGAAGAGGGCAAATAATTTCCCTTTCCCTTTCCTTTGGTTTGATGATGGGCTTCTTCCATTCATGGGAGGATCCAACTGGATTCTGGTCAATAGGACTTAAGTCATGATAAATAACACATTCTGCTTTTGGTTTCTCTTTCAGTTCAATTAAAGCAAAGCAAAGCAGCCTCATTTATATACTGCTTCATATCACGCTATGGGATGTCTAAGCAGTTTACAGCTGTGAGCTGATTGCCCTCCAACAGTTGGGTACTCATTTTAGTGACCTCGGAAGGATGCAGGCCTGAGTCGAGCCTCAGCCCTGGCTGGTATTGAACTCACAACCTTGTGGTTTATGAGTGAGTGGCTGCAGTACAGGCATTTAACCACTGTACCACCAGGGCTGTTAACATAGGCTGGATCCAATCTGACATGCAAACCATTTTCAAAGATTCATATAGACTCTTCTGGAAAATTGCATTTTACGTACTTTAACTCTGCAGGTTACTCACTGGTACATCTAGGAGAGAACACATTACACCAGTGCTGAAATCTCTCCACTGGTTGCCAATTAGTTTCCGGGCACAGTACAAGGTCTTGGTTTTAATCTTTAAAGCCCTACATGGCTTGGATCCAACTTATCTCCGGCACCGCCTCTCCCTGTATGACCCCCCCCCGCGCACTTTGGTCCTCTGGGAGGAATCTGCTACAGCCTATGAAATCTAGGCTGTCACAGACCTCCCAGAGGGTCTTCTCTGCTGCCGCCCCAAGATTATGGAATGGCCTGCTGGATGAGATCCATCTTATTACCACTCTTGACTCCTTTAAAAAAGCAGTAAAGATGGATCTCTTCCGGCAGGCCTGCCCGGAATAATCTCTCGGCTCCCCAAGTTGGTCTGGTTCTGTCAACTCACTCCCCTAGCTGCCACTGCCTGTTTTTATGCCTGT